CTGCTGAACTCACAATCGGGGAAAAAGGGACTTTGTTACAGAATATTCTGTGATATTAAGTTGTGAATGTCATTATTTTTAGTAAATTTTTTTATTAATGTTAAATAAGAATACACGGGTTTTGTAAATGTTGGTCTAATTTAGACCAAAAAAGATGGCCGATGTATATTTGGGTTTTTTTCTCCCTCCCTTTCGGTAATAAAAAAAAAAAAAGGCGAAAGGTCAAAACTTGAAACCCAGAAAAATCGGCAGCAGATACGTTTCTCTCTCTAAGCCGTTCTTCTTTCTTCAACGTAACAAAAAAAAATATAAATAAAATAAAAATGCTCTTTTATGAACAATAGACACAAGCTATCCTTGCCTTGGTCACTAAGCCATGCATTCATTTAAAAAAATACCCAAAAAAAGCCCCTGAAAACAGAGAGAAAAAACCCAACGATGATTTTCTTACAGCCTCGGCACCACAAAATCGATGATGTTCGGTCTGGGCACCGGAGCTGTGTCTCGTATTGTCCTGCTTCTCGTTTTAACGGCTGCTGTGATCTCTCCGGTCCTTGGATCATCGGACGGCGGAGATGATGAGAGGAATAGGAGGCGTGATCCTCTGAAGAGCTTCAGGTACTACAATGGAGGATTTGATGTTCGAAACAAACATTACTGGTCTGTAAGTATATACTCTCCCTTTGATCTGTCCTCCCCCGTCTTCCATCTGCATATTATCTTATCATCCTCTATATATATATATATATATATATATATATATTGTTTGGATTCGTTTCATTCCAAGCTTGAATTTACGCACAGAAAATACTATATATACGACAATTGTATCGTTTATATAATCATATCATGGCCATGCAGACATGGGTTTATCCCAATTGCCTTCAATATTAAACACATTTTTCACACGTTTGTATCAACTACCGATGTATTCGTGTTGTCAAGAAGTTTACGTTATACTTGCATTATATCATATCATGGCCATTTCGGGTTTTTGGTTATATATTAAAAAATAATTATAACTATTCGGTTTTTATACTAAATTTGATTTTGTTCGAATTCCGTTTTTATCGATATAATATTCACTTTAAAATTTTGATTTTTTTAATATTTATTTACTTCTTTGTTCGATTCGATTCAAATTTATTTTATTTTTCCAAAAAATATAAACATTATATCTTTATATCGAATTGAATTGAATATGTTTTATTTGGTTGAAATTCGGTTTATTAACTCTCTATAACAAAAATCTACAATAAGATGCGCGGTAAAAAATCCTTCGTGAATATGGGCCTAAAAACTGGGCCCATTACAGTTAAAGACCACGACTAGTCATATCTGTTGGAGGATAATTTTGTAATTTTGGATTTTAATTTTTGACGAAATTTCAGTCTGCGGCGTTTACAGGAGTTCACGGCTACGTCGTCGCCGGAGTATGGAGTCTCTCCGGCGTCTGTTTTGGACTTTTATTGGCATTCAACGTCACCAGGGGGCGCGTGGCTTCCGTGCTTCAGTCCACGCGCCGCCGTCTAGACCACTGCTACGTTCCCTTGTTCTCACTCGTCCTACTCTTTGTTTTGCTCTCCATGTATGTCTTCTTATACAATTTTTTTTAAAAAAAAAATGCACTCCCTTTTTCGTACGTGAATTCTAGGGTTTTGATTTTATTTTTTAATTTTGGGAAAATGGAAAAGGGCGGCGACGGGGATGGTGATAGCGGCGAACCAGAGCTCCCGAAGCAGATTGCAGAAACTGGAAAACACCATTGCCAATGCCGGAGAAGATGTCCACCGGACCATCGGTACGGTCGTCGAATCCATGACTAAGATTCAGTACCTTTTGCTTCCGTACGATCAGCAGACGACTAAGCTCCTTAACATCACCACCCACCGCCTCGCCAAGGAATCTCGCATTATCCAGCGATTCGTCCATGAAAACAAACGATCGATCAATCTCGCCATCCAGACTTCGTGAGAATTCTTTCTGAGTTGTGGGTTTTTATCGATTCGATCCCAAAATATCTTATGTGGATTCCTGATATTTGGTGCATCGTTTCGTTGTCTTTCAGGTATGCATCGCATCTGATGGTTGCATCGATCAACTTGTTCTTGCTGTTTCTGACATTTGGTGAGTGAACTTTGTCCGAACAATTAGGAGATTGATCGTTGTACATAATGATGACGGATTAGTTCATATTGTTATGAGATTCTGATTAATGGAGGAAGACGTTCTTCGATCTTGCTTCAGACTTTTCATCTGAAAATGGATGAACTTCTGGGATGATATTATTCTTGCCCATGTTCTCATTTGTCTTTAACAGAGATTATTTTAGATGGGTTTGTAATTTTAAGTTTGTTGGACTGACGAATGGATCTCTGCTTTGTATCATCAGCTCTCCTTTTGCTTCATTGGCACCCCGGCTTCATCATGTAAGCCATACTCTGTTGAATCTTTTGTTCATTTTCTTGAAACCTGACCTGGATTCTGAGGTTTATGGTTTGATTCTGTCTTGCTCTTGTAGTTTCATATTTTTCTGCTGGATCTTGACAACACTTTTCTGGGTTCTCACCGGCTTCGATTTTTTTCTTCACACGTAAGAAACCAACACAGCACCCTGTGTTTGTTTAGTTCTTACCATCATGATCTCCCCATTCTTTTCTTCCGCTTTGTTCTGACTTTTGTTGCAAACTTCTGGGTTGCAGTTTTTCGGATGATGTTTGTTTAACAATCAAAGGGTTCATGCAAAACCCGCAAAATAACACTCTAAGTTCTATCCTGCCCTGCATGGACCGTCTTCACTCAGATAAAACCCTGGAGGATATCAGTCTGGCCATCCATAACTTCATCAGTGAGGTAAGTGATCTAAACAACCATAGTCAAGAAATCAAGAATTCCGGCTGTTTCTCAACAAGATGCCTTTTTCTACTTCCGCTGTTTCTTTCAGCTAAACTCGAAAATAGCAGAGACCATGCGCTCCTATGCATTACACGACCAGGACACTGTTTTGCCAGAATCCGGACTTATATGCGATCCATTTCTTGGGACACAAAACTACACCTACATACCTCAGGATTGCCCCATTGGCGCCATTCCAATTGGTGAATTTCCAAATGTAAGTTTTGATTAGTCCTAGTTTTGAATTTGATTACCAGTCAAGTCAGCTTTAATCTCATTTCACTTTCAGATTCTTGGCAGATTCACATGCCATGCCGGTGACCCACCGGAAACCTGCAGAACCAACGGAAAATTCGTCCCGGAAGCTTCATACCGAAAGGCCTGGGCTTACAGCAACGCGGTTCAAGGGATGCTCGATATCTTTCCCGATCTGCAGGGCCTGACTCGATGCCTCATCATCAAAGACACGTTCTCGGCTATTGTCTCGGACCAGTGCCATCCTTTTAGGGCTTCAATGTATCGGTTATGGGCCTTCATGGTCACTCTCTCGGTTCTCATGGTGGTCCTTGTCTTGCTCTGTGTTGCAAAATCTTTCCAAGAAAAAGGGAAGAGCTTTTCTTGGTTTTCAATCAGACCCACTTCTTCTCAAGCCCATGGAGTTGGTGACAGAGAACAACAGAGTTCATAAAGAGTGTATACAATAATGGTCGGCTTGTTCTTTTTTTTGTCTTTTAGTATACAAATATAAGTGAGAGCATTTTCATTGGGCAAAACGGGATGTATATATATACAACATTTTTTCAAGCATTTATGAATAAGAACAATAAGTTTCTCTTTCGGAAAAGGTGAAGAAAGTGTTTGTCAACTACGCAAGCCCATGAGCTATCATGCAGTTAATACACGATCTGACTATAATTTAAATTTTAAACACCTTATTGCATAGGAGAATTGTAAGATTGCTTCATACATAAAACATAAAGATTTACACGCGAATCTTAAAGTTGGCATCCAGCTGTCAGAGTCTCAGTGGTTGCATTTGGATTAGCAAAAAAACAAAATCTTAAAAATTAAGTCATTAATTGGCACTGATGGAGAAGTAAACTAAAGGAACCATCTCATTAATGATGGTGATTAGTTCATAACACTCATCGACCGAGACGAGGATTATCGGGGTCGTCTCTGGTCAAACGTCGGAATCATCAAGACTCTCTCTTTCTCTCCGTGATAGATCCATCTGAACCTGACGTCACCAACCCATCTATCCATCTCCCCCATCAAATTCTGGGTTTTGGATTTTTCTCCGTGATCTCTTCTCCCGATCGAGCTTCTGCTGGAGAGTGTCTGAATATTGCCGAATTTGGTGTTTTCTCGGACTATCTGCTTCACGGGTAACTTGAACAGTCGAATTCGGTCTGAGATATTTACATGTCGGGAAATTCCGCTCCGGTCAGTCAACGGGGTACCGGGGGTTTTCAGGTAAGGTCATCAAGGTTCTCTCCCCTGATTCTCTGTTTTTTTTTTCTCTGAAGAATTTGGCTGCATTTAGGGTTCTGTTTCTATTTCTTGTGGGTGTGGGTGTTGAATCTGGTATGGGGCAATGATCTCATGTTTTGCTGATCAGCTCGCTTGATGGATGAGTACTCATTTGTGATTGTCCTTGACAATCCGAATTACATGAAATCCGGGTTTTATCTGTAAACGAACTAAGAACAATCTCATCTAGCTTCTAAATTTGATCTCTTTAATACATTATGTGGAACTTTGATCAGTCCTAGGTCATACTCTGTGATGGGATGAGGGAATTGAGCACTCAGAAAATGGTGTTAGGTCATACTCTGTAGCTATATGTCTAGTGATCAGAGTTCTTAACATTGCTCTTTTCTCTTCGGTAGACTGTTTCTTCAACCTGAGGTTTCTAGTTAGATGCTTATGTTCTGTCGGGTTTGTTGGATCTACGTAGGTTTCATATTGTTTGTTACAGCATCTTCTTGGAGATAATATTTTGGAAGAGAGAAAGACGAACACGAACTGAGGATGAGGAACAAACACATCAAGAAACCAACATCTTTGTGTTGCGATAATCCAGGCAGCCGATGTTCACCCCCTGCTGTAGTATGGACAGTTGTAGGGTTTCTCCTCTTTATCCATCTTGTCACTCTCTATAGCAGAAAAGATAGCATAAGCCGGGAAATTTCTTCTGCATTGCTGATTCATCATCCTGTGGTTCGTGAACTTGAGCGGGTGGAAGAAGAGAACATTCAAATGCCGCCAACTAGGAAGCGCTCCCAACATGCAACTAAACGGAAAACAAAACGTCTGGCACCTTTGGTTGAGGAGTTTCTTGACGAAAATTCGCAGATTCATCATGTTTTCTTTCCGGGTATGAAAACGGCTGTTGACCCCACCAAGAATATGGGTAACAATACCTTCTATTACTCCCCGGGTAAAATTTGGTTGGATACTGAAGGAGTTCCTATTCAAGCCCATGGAGGAGGGATTTTGTATGATGAGAGATCTAAAACCTACTACTGGTACGGAGAATATAAAGATGGACTGACCTATCATGCTCACAAGAAAGGGCCAGCCCGGGTAAGTATATCATCTCGGCAGTTTGTTGCTCTAAGGCTCATGACTTATAGTTTTTGTCTCAAAGGATCTAAGCATCAACTCCTTGATAAGAGTTGCTTAGAATGTCAATATGTCCTGAAATTATGAGATCATTCATTTGGGTAAATGTTTCAGGTGGATGTCATAGGAGTGGGCTGCTATTCTTCAAAAGACTTGTGGTCATGGAAGAAAGAAGGAATTGTACTATCAGCAGAAGAAACGAACAAGACTCACGATCTACATAAATCCAACGTCTTAGAACGACCAAAAGTGATTTACAATGAGAAGACACGGAAATATGTGATGTGGATGCATATCGATGATGCAAACTACACTAAAGCTTCAGTTGGTGTGGCCATAAGCGATCACCCAGCAGGACCCTTTAACTATTTGTACAGCAAACGCCCACACGGGTTTGACAGCAGGGACATGACAGTCTTCAAGGACGATGACGGAGTTGCCTATCTAATATACTCGTCTGAGGAAAACGGTGTTCTTCATATTGGCCCCCTCACCGATAATTACCTTGATGTGAAGCCAGTAATGGAGAGAATAATGGTGAGACAGCACAGAGAAGCTCCGGCCTTGTTCAAGCACCAGGGCACGTACTACATGATCACATCGGGCTGCACTGGCTGGGCACCGAATGAAGCCCTGGCTCATGCCGCCGAGTCCATAATGGGACCATGGGAGACACTGGGCAACCCTTGTATAGGCGGCAACAAGATTTTCCGATTGACCACGTTCTTTGCACAGAGCTCGTACGTGATACCGCTGCCAGGTGTACCGGGCATGTTTATATTCATGGCGGATAGGTGGAACCAGGCTGAATTACGGGATTCAAGATACGTGTGGCTACCGTTGATTGTGGGTGGACCGTCTGATCATCCTCTGAAGCTGAATTCCGGGTTCCCGTTGTGGTCAAGAGTGTCGATATACTGGCACAGGAGATGGCGGCTTCTATAATGGTGGAAGATGCTCTCCTTGAACGAACAGCAAAACCAGAAAGTGGTTTTCTTTTTCTGCCGGTACTGTAGCTGTCCTCTTGGTCTTCTTGTATTGTCTATTGTTGTTGTTGCTGTTCTTGTGCTTTGTTTCGGTCTACAGCTTACATTTCAGAGTTAGAGTTTGGAGGTTTATACGATGAGTTCTGACTGAATACCTTTTGCGGTTACCAGTTTACCAAACTAGAAAATTTGATGCAATGAGAAAAGGGAAGATTCTGTCTGTGAATTTTAGGCCTTTCTTGGTCTAATATAACGTTTCTAGTGTTAGGTTTTTTTATCAGACATCAACAAATTCAAGGACTTTCCCATACATTTGGGAATTTCTACAAGGTTTGATAGAGAAACGATGAATATTCTACAAAATGGCAAAAGAGACGTCTCTCTCTCACCAGCCAGAAAAGTCTTTGAACCCTCCAGCTGAAGCAGTAGTTTTCCTTTTCTTTGGCACTCCATTAGTTGCAGGATCACTGTCTTGACTGTTCTTTGCCTTTAAGTATTTTCCGACACCGCCACTTCCAACAGCACCGCCTTCTGTCGCTCCTGTTCCAGGGTTGCTGTACCACGATCCGATTTTGTCCTGAAAACCCCAAATATAAGTAAACAACAAAGGAGACAGAATCTATTGCATGAGAAGGAAAGCTCTAACCTTATCTTCATCCTCCTTGTTCTTCTCCTCCTCCTCGGCTTTCTCTTCTTCCCCTTCTTCATCCGGTTCCATGTATGGGTTCACAAACACGGTAACGTTAATTATCTTGATTTCCTCCTGGAGAGATTAGAGAACCGAAGATATGGTTTAGCCACCAAACTCGCATGGAATATAAAATTCTGCTAATCAGAAGGTAACTCCTCAAAGAAAATGTACCAGAGGTCGGTCATCGTCGTCTACAGGTACTTTCTCCATTTCAGCAAGGGTAGCTAATCCACCAACCACTCCGCCAAATACTGTGTGCTTGTAGTTTAGATGCGTTGCTGATTTGTATAGTATGAAAAACTGGGAACCATTTGTGTGAGGCCCACTGTTCGCCATACTAACAACGCCTCTCCCCGAGTGAAGTAACTTAGAGTTAAGCTCATCTTTGAATGGCTTTCCCCATATGGACTCGCCTCCTCTTCCGGTGCCAGTTGGATCACCACCTTGAATCATAAAGTTCCTAGCAGAAGATCAAAGGCCAGAGTTATAAAAGCCATATAACTCGATAAGGTGATGGAAAAAGAAAACGCTTCTGCAAAGAATAACGGTACCTGATGTTTCTGTGAAAGATCAACCCATTGTAGTAACCGCGTTCACACAAAGTGATGAAATTTTCACATGCCCTAGGAGTTATATCACAATGAAGCTCGATGTTCAAATCACCATGTGTTGTGTGAAGCTGAACATACCCCTTCTTCTTGGGATTTTTCTCGACTTTCACATATTCAAATTCATTTTCAGTTACAGGATCAAAAGCAGTGGAAGTGAATGACCGAGAAGCAGCACCAGATGAAAAACGACTCTTCACCTGAAATCAACATTTAAAACTCATTAGCTCAATCGATTTATCCAATCAAATGCATGTTCTAAACCAATACAACTGTAACTCGGCAGTAGTGTAATGCCTCTTGCATGACTAAATGTCTCTTGAACATACACACATTGCATTCTTTAAAAGAGAGTCTTGAGCAAGAGAAACTAACCATTTTAGCATTAACAGGTGCCCTCTCCCCAGCCATATGCATGGCTATTCTTGCAGCAGTTTTATCACTTGAAGCAGCTTTGGCTGCAGCAGCACTTCTTCCATGCACTGAGGCAGATGCAGCATCCACGATACTATATGCCTGCTTGGGTTTAGGCTCTCCATTGGAACCCGTCTTTGAATCCTCTTTAATTTTAGATCTTGCTGCTAAAATGGCAGCGATAGCAGCAGCCCGTTCACTACGTGCCTTGTTTCCACCTCCACCAAGTGAAGCAATCTCCTTGGCTTTTTCTGTTCCAAGCTCTGCAAGCATCTGTTTGATATCTCCAGACACGTTTATATTGTGAGCTGGATCTGAGCTAATCTTCTTCAATTCTGCAAAACAGAGAAAATAATGTATTCATTTCAATATGTATCATGATGTATTGCAAGGTTGGAGGTGGGGATACATGTAAATCAGAAGCTTTCTTTTCTCATATGAATAAGAAGAGAGTGACACCTTCATCATCAACCTTCAGGCCTTTCTTTACATGATCAAACTCTACTGTCACCTTAGAGTCAAGAGCATTAGGATTCTGCAAACATCCCGAAAGACTGTTAAGTTATACCCACACCACCAATGCGACAGATGCTTCAAACAACACAACGTAAAGCATTCAAAGCATTGTAGGAGCGTGTGAGGCCCATTCAAGTCACCGGATAAAGGGGAAATGGATACCTGAATTGTTATAAGGTCCTCTTTCGAGAATGGTTCATCTGTTAGGAGCTCCTTCCAGTTCTTGGTCTTGATATTTAATTCCTTTATAGCCTAAGGATAAAACAAAAATACAAACAATGGCACCAAGATAAGTGTTACAACTAATACGAAAAAAGGAGTAACTCTAATATGCTAAGAACACGGACCTCGTAGCAGAATACATTTCCTGTAGTCTTCACAGCAACTATATGGGTAAATTCGGTAAAAACCTTGTTCAGCACGGGGCAGTGGTACTCTCCTACAACAGCAATGCACACAAGTTTCAGCATATCTGAAAGACAATGATAAAATAGAACCAGAAGGTGCAGAAATTGGACAAAAAAACATCCTCACAACATTAAACAGAAAGTCAAGTATCATCGAAACACCGAAAGAAAACTAAAAACGAACTCAATCATTTCACATTTCAAAGGTTCCACAATGTAAGCAGACTAACTATCAAGTAAAAACATCAAATGGCACTTTTAAGGAAAGAAAAAAAGTAGAGTAGAGAAAAGAAAGAACAACCATCAGCATTCTTGTGGAAGGTGAGAGGGATCAGATCATCTTGCTTCAAAGGAGCTCCCGTAACTGGATGCCTTCCATACTTCCTAATATAAGGCACTATGCTCCTGCAAATAAAGCAGGCAACTCCAAAGTCAGACACGGATAAGAAAAATCTCGATATCACCATCGAATCATGACCTCCAAGTCAATCAAGCATGTAAACTAGCTTAGAGAGCAAACGAATTATACCAAAACAAAAACAAAAAAAGTTGAACAATGGAATGTTTGAAATGTTTCTTCTTGATCAAGTGAAAAAAAAAAAAAAGAGTATCTAGCTATACTGGATTACTCACATTACATCGAAAACACTCCCGTCGATCGTGCAGACAGCATCCTCAAATGGCAGAAAAGTAAGCCTGCATCAGAAGCAGATTGAAATCACTATTAACGCCAAAAAATGGATCAAACTCGAGATGAAGAACCTCAGGACAGACAGCCTATACATATGTACATGTATAGGTAAGTCTACGAGCACGTACGCGCAGCAGTAGAACGGAAGGCGCTTGAAGGGTGTACGATTCTCTTTGGATTTGGCGCCACCCCATTCCGTCGCCCACTCGGTCTTGGTGATGAACATTCGATCCTTGCTGTGCTGCTTTTTCCCCATTCTTGCTTCCTCTCTCTTCTTCTACTCAAATTTCTTCGGCTTTCCTTTGGATGATCGAAATCCTGATCGAACCGAAACGAATTGAGCGCTATTCCGACCTCGTTCGCCAAAGATTTGAGTTCAATTTAGCAGCAGAAACCCTAAAGTCTTCAAATTTTTCAATTCAATTGAGACGCCAGACCACCGCCCTCTCCGCTGCGGCTCGTCAATGGCTGGAGAAGGCAAAATTCCGAGCTTCACTACCGTAGGGCCCGATTCGACCATAGTTGAACCCGACCCGAATAATACAATACGAAAAGGCCCATTTTAAACCAATTGGGCCAACAAACTTAGGCCCAATGAACTTTTTTTTCTACCCAAATAGAAAACCGAAGACGCCGAGAGAGAGAGAGAGATCTATTTTTACGGCGGAGATGGGAGGGAGGAGAAGCGGCGGAGAGAGCAGCAGCGATGAAGAAGAAGAAGACCCAAAGTGGAAAGCTGCAATCGAATCAATCGCCGCCACCACTGTTTTCGGCGCCAAAGGAAACTCGAAATCGCTAAGCACTCGAGCATCTGAAGAAGACGGGGATTATCGCTTCAAACCGAAGAAGCTAACCCACGCAGAGATCAAGGTCAGTTGTTATTTTAGTCGAGGAGACCTGATCATGTCTGGACTCAGAAACATGTGCATAGATGTGTGTGTATATATGTATAGGTAGGTTGCATATATGCGCAGGGAGATGCAGAATTTAACGTAGTACCTCGGCCTGATGGTACATTTCTTTAGATTGAGTAAAACTGTATTACGAGTAAGAATCGTTGATTAAGATGAAGCTCTTGTTGATTTTCTATTTCGTTGTGTTAGTAGTCATTCTTCTTTTATGTGATTGTTGTTTATATGTTGATAATCTTTGATTAAGACAAAGCTTACAAACAGGCGCTAAAGGTTTTGGACGAGATGGTGGAGAAGACATTAGAGTTTGTGAAAGATCCTCTCCGTATTTCTGATATCGAACCTGAGAATGACAATGGGGTACGGTTATTTAAGCGTGCTCCTGTCGGCATAATCTTTGATCATTTAGGTCAGTCATGGCTTCACTGAGTTCTCAGAACCTGGGATTCTCTTCTGGTGTTTTCTTGTATGCTTTGTCTGTGAAGCAACTGAGTGCTTCTATTCTATGTTTGTCTTGTCAGATGAAATCGAAGGGCCGAAAAAGAAACCCAAGTTACTCCCCAACAGGGTAGTTGATGAGAATTCGAAAGAGGTTTAAACTATAAAGACATTTTTTTGCTTTTGATCCTGAATTTGGCCAAAAAAAAGGTCGGTAATGGTAACTTTACACTTGATGATGCCTAATGCAGTTCAAGAAACGGCTAAAATCGATAGCTGTTGATGGGTCAGACATATTAGCTGCCGCAAGAGAAGCTGCTCGGAAATCCTCGGCTAGACTAGAAGCTAAAGCGGCAGCTGCAAAAGCGAAAGCCAAAACAGAGGAGGAGAGAGTTGCCGGACTGAAGAGGGTAAGAGGAGAAAAATGGTTACCTTCTGTTGCTCGGGAAATGCAGGTATGAACTCATATGGCACATATGTTATATTAGCTTCTATTGCTAATGCTTCTATTCGGGTATGTCAACTGACCTCTGTACTTATGCGGATCTCTGGTATGTTGCAGTTAAATAAAAGCCTGAAACGACAATCTGCAAAACCACAGCTTGCAGATCAGTAATGGATGAGAGAGTGAAGATCTAGGGTTTCGGATCTGTTGGTTATGAATCGAGGGTTTACATTATAATTGCTTACAGGAGGTTACAAGAACGCAACAACGATCATCAAAGGATCGAAGAGATGGAGTCTGTGTCTTAGCTTCAAAGAATGAGGATAGAAAACTTGCTGATGTCCAAAACTTATGCTACACTCAACAAGCCTCGAGTGTTTAGGGTTTAGGGTTTAGGATATATGTCAGATTCTTCATCAATGCCAACGAGGACAGATTGAATCAGAGAGACAAAGTCAATAGAATTGAAGCCATAATCCCAAAACAATTTTTAAGGGTAATCGATAGCAAAAGGGCTTGTTTGGATTATCACGAGTAGGAATTATCATTCTTCAGGCGACGAGATCGAAAATCTTCTTCACTTACGTCGTCGTCTTCGTCTCTGATCCAAACGAAATGATCCAACCCGTCGTAAATGTCGTAGGCGTTTTTCTTGGGGGCTTGTTTGGATGCCGAGAAAACACCTTTTATTCCCTCGATAAGCCTTCTTCCTATATTTTTTCTACCACTGCTTCCCTTAATCGCATTCGGGCTCTCGCCTCTCCTTCTGAACGTCGTACTCAGCGACGACACCGATCCTCTCTCCCCTCTCTCGATCTTTCCCTCACTCGGCCGGATAACGCAACGGAAGCTAGCGGATCGACCCGAACCTACCCGATCGGATCTCTGTTTCTCGGATTCCTCCGATATGATCTTCCTCATGGCGTCGAGCTCTTTCTCCAGGCTCTCGATTCGCGAGCTGGTTGATTCCATCTTGGCTTTGAGCCTAGCAGTTTGCCGCGCCGCCGAGTCAAGCTGGAGGAGCGAGCCGAGCGTGACGGTGGAGTTTCTCGCGGCGGAGATCTGCCGGCATCCGCCTGCACCGGCGGCGAGGATCGAGTGGCGCGTGTTGAGCTGCTCCTGAAGCATGGCGCGAACGATGAACCTCAGCGGCATTTTCGGGTTTTGGACCGCGTGGAGGAGTAACGGCGCCGTTAGCTTGCCGCAGTCTATTGTACTGCATACCTGAACCTTTTCTTTATCCGTTATCTTTCCGTCTTGCACCTGCAAATTTACACCCAGTGAGGAGGCAACACGTGTACAACTGTAACTCCCAAATGACGAAAATAACCTTTACCTCCAAGTAAGAATCGATGATCCTGTATAGTAAGTCGTGGCTCCCCCAGCCTCGGCAACGATCACGAAATCGCCGGCTGCAAGTTGGACGGCGTCACCGAGGAAATCATCAATGCCGTCTCCGTATTCCGTCAAGGTTAACGCTTCGATGCACTGGCCAACCAAAAGCGCCGTCGTTTCCGACTCGGGAAGCAGAGCAAGACAAGAACGCAGAACAACGCCCGTGAGATCGACGCTCACGGAGACGACTCGCCGGAAGTACGATTCTGTTATCTTCCTGAGGTTCTCCCGGCCGTCTCCGTGGGTACCCGTCATCTGAAGCAGCTCGGCGGCGACTCTCAGGGAAGCAAAGTTTAACGGCGTTAACTGGATATGCCCGCCGTAACAGAAATCGGCTACTAAAGAGAATGTATCAGCCGTTATGTTTAACGGCGGGGAGAGAGTTAATTCGGAGACGCGCGTTAGGTGGCGTTTTAAATAACCACTCCTTTTGGACAGAGGATCCTAGGGATAGCAAAGAACCCCACAAAAAATAAATATCAAAACTTTTTGCCGTAAATGTTTATTTCCTTGGAAATTTTTTTGTTCGCAGTAAATGGGCATTGAATACGGGGAAAAAGGCCATAACTTTGCGTTACCCTGTTGAGAATACTGGTCCGAAACGTAGGTGTGCATGAATTATGAAAATCCCATTTCGAGAATATCATGGATCCAAGCGTTATAATTGGGAAAGCATGGACACTCGAATCAAAACCTATATGTATAAATACGACAAGAATACGGATTGTTTTTGTATCATCTACTACAGCAATCTAACACAAAGCCAAACAAGGAAAAAAAAAATACCTTGTGCAGACGGAAGCTTGTTCCATTGACATGTATAATCGCATCAGGCGTAGAACCAGAAGCCAATGACCTTCATTTGAATGAAGAAACACATCCCAATTTTAAAAAGGAACACAAAAATGCATGCAAGTTTGATCGATGCATTAAGATATAATAAGACGGCAATATACACACTGACAAAAATGTGTTACCATTCTTGGACTCTAGATCTTAGAGGAGTGGAAGGAGATGAAATATCGATACGTTGAACCAAAAGAGACGAAGGGGGGGGCGAAGACGAAGAAGAAGAGTCGTAGTCTTCCTCCTCATGGATCGTACTCACAACTCCTGAATTCATCCAACCCTTCATTGTTTTATTTCTTCTTTTTTGGGGGGTTTGGGCAGTGAATAAGAACGGAGGGTTTGATGCGCCGGTTAGGATTTTGGAGAATGGGAGAGGGGAAAATTTTGGTGTGAAGGGTAATAATAATAACTTGAGAATGGGAGGAGGGCAAGTTATAACTTATAAAAGGGTTTGCATGTGAATGTGCTTTAATGCGTTTCCCTTTCCATAACCCTTCGATTCGAGTAGAGGGACCACCCAACAGCTCTCTCTCTTATTTACCTCATTAATAGCAACGCTGTCTCTGGGTCTGTGTTTCCAGTTCAAATTTAACCAAATCATCGTTATATTAATCACTGTGCAATGATACTAAGGGTCTGGACTTGCTCCATTGCTTAAACCCGATTTGAGCTAGATTCCTCATCCCTTTATCTGTAACATTTGTAAACTTGTAACAAATCATAAATTTGTAGAGAAAAAAAATTGCGAGATAAAAGTAATTTTTTTTTTTTTTGTGATATCAGATAATGCAAAAACCGTGAATGAAATATGTGTGGAGATGCGTATCTGTTATATCATGCGAAACAAGATGGGGAAAAAAAAGCATGTGAAAATAGAAAAGAATGCTATAAAAACGATATCTACACGAGTTTTTTTTACCTCCACAAGATGAAGCATTTGTCGTTGGTAAGTATTTATATGGGCTACAAAAAGGGCTCTTCATATTGGGCCAGGCCCATTTATTTACAGATTTGTGCCGGAGACCAAGGAAACCCTAATTCTGCCTCATCAGAAAAACGGCGCCGTTTTTAGTGTATTGAGGTTCCTTATAATCTCAGCTCGACCCACATCTCATTGGTCTCCGCCACAAAAAACCCTAGCGTCTCTCAGCAAGTCGGCCAAGATGAAGTACAACCCGCGCGTGAGCTCATCTCGCCGGAAGAGCCGGAAGGCTCACTTCACGGCTCCGTCGAGCGTGAGACGCGTCCTGATGAGCTCACCGCTCTCCGCCGATCTCCGTCAGAAATACAACGTCAGATCTATGCCGATCCGCAAGGACGACGAGGTCCAGGTCGTTCGCGGCACGTACAAGGGTCGTGAGGGTAAGGTGGTGCAGGTTTACCGCCGCAAATGGGTGATTCACATCGAGCGGATCACCCGCGAGAAGGTGAACGGGACAACGGTGAACGTGGGGGTGAACCCGTCGAAGGTGATGATCACGAAGCTGAGGCTGGACAAGGACAGGAAGTCACTGTTGGAGCGCAAGGCAAAGGGTCGGGCGGCTGCGGACAAGGACAAGGGAACTAAGTTCACGGCTGAAGATATCATGCAGAGCGTGGACTGATCCACAAAACTTTGCCCAGGTTGATCTTGTTTCGAGGTTCTATGTTTTACTTTGTTTCGATGGCGTTTAGGATTCGGATTCGGATTCGGAAATGGAATGTTTTGTTTTTGTTCTAAAGGCTACATGCGATGATGATTAGGAACACCACCCAAGTTATTCTGTTTTGTCTGAATTTCCCTTATATGAATATCTCTGGTTTAATGATTTTGATCTGTTCCATATACTTTGTTGAGGGTTATGATTACACCCTTTTGACATATTTGTTTAATTCCCTTGTACGAATCTAGAATTTGGCAGTCGGAAATTAGGTACATTACAGTGGATTGGTCATGGGCAGTAGTTACTTGATATTAGGATGATATCTGCTTCTTCTTTCGCCGGATATTTGTTTACACTGCATCGCTATCGATGACTGATAGGATTTCCAAGTATCCTGAGTACGGCATGATGCTGAAAGTCCCGTTTCGAAAAGAAAAAAACAGGTTGATCCGTAGGATTAACAGGGTCAAACTCGAAGCTTACCATGGTTATTAAGCCCGGCCTTTACAGTCGTTAACAGCGTATTATAATCCGAACAGCAGCGCTTCTATTTGATGAGAGAATGGGACAATGGTTCTCTGAGCAACTCTGATTTCGTTTAACCAAATCTTAAAATCGCATGGTTTTGTCACAAGCAGCGCTTCTGCACCAAATGTGGTGGTATCTGTTGTGTTGTGTCATGAAATAGAACTGGTAAGTGACGAGGTCGCCAATGTAACTTACAATATTAACCCATTGAATGTCGGGTGTCGTGGTGTAGTTGGTTATCACGTCAGTCTAACACACTGAAGGTCTCCGGTTCGAGTCCGGGCGACGCCAATTCCAACTTTTTGTGAAAAATATAAGCCCATTGGGCTTGAAAACAAGAAGAGCCCAAAGGCGTTCATGATATGCAGGCCCATTTAAAAAACAGAGAGTACGACGGCCCATAACCACCCAACCGAACCAAACTTGGCGACCGCACCACAACCATATGTGGCTTTGATGGTGATTTCCAATGGGTGTGTGTGTATATATGCATGGATACAGAGCATGTTGGGAACGGAGCATCTCCATCCACTCCGATTCTTCTTCCTCAGTCTAACCTCTGTTCCATCCAAGAATCGGCTTCTCTTTGTGATCCAATCCAATGTCCCCTCCCTCCCCCACCCAAGATAAAAATAGAGAATAAATAAATGAAATAAAGGGATCTTTTCTTTTTCATCCTCGGGTTTGGTCGGCAGAGGTTGTCCACCGACAAAAGTTTTCTCTTCGGTATCCGTACCCGTACCTCATCAAAAATCTATCTCTGTGATCCCGACAACTGCATCTTTTTCGCCTACCACCATACATACTTTAAAAAAAAAAGGACATTTACCCCATGGAATATGATTTTCTATTATCAAACTAATACAAAAATTACTCTGTTTTGTGTGGTAATAATCGAACTAAAACAAAATTACTCTGCATATAACATATTTTATATATTCCAAACCAGAAGAAAAAAAAAGGTTACCTTATTCTTTTTGGACGCTCGGGAGGGAAAACAAAGGAACTATCACATAAACGCATTCTACATCTCGGTAGCAAAATCTGAATCAGCTCTCACTCTCTCTATATGCTCCATACTCTGTTTCCACTTGTTGCAGGTCCTTGTCCCCCTAAAAGACAAACTGTACAGCCGCCCAACTCCTGTCCGAGACACAATCGGTGTATGATTTCAGACAGACGAAAGGTATATATATTCTTGCTTCAGGGCATCCATCACGGAGACAAGCTATGATCTTCGGCTGAGCTTCTCTCCTGTCTGCCATTGAACCTGCTAAGGACCGGCAATGAAGCAGTGGCAGATATCCGGAAGGATCTAGCCGAACCCATCAGTACCGTTCTCTCCTGCATCGTCTTCACCTCCTTACAGACATTGTCGAGTATCCCGAGGAAATCCCTTACGACCATGAAGATCCTCAGTGGATGAGCT